CCCCAGCCTATGTGTAGATGGAGAGAGAGAGAGAGAGAGAGAGAGAGAGAGAGAGAGAGAGAGAGAGAGAGAGAGAAAGAGAGAGAGAGAGGGAGCGCGAGAGATCCTATCTCTACCAAATTCTAGAATAAAAAGGTCTAGGTTTCAAATACAATGATCTCTTTTTGAAATAAATTTCTACTACATGATTTGAATATAAATGCTATCATACTCAAAGTATGGTAGTACTCTAAGAGTTTTTTGAAGAGTATAACTTTGAGTTATAGGAAATTTTCTATGAGAATATTCTTGGGTAAAAATGTAGCCAACACTTTATACTGAGTACTTTTAAACAATGTAGCATGCAGTCTAGGTTGAGAGAGATATAATATTTTTAAGCTATAAATGTCTCAGTTACTTTTCTCATTGCTGAGACAAAATACCCGACACCCAAAGTTAAAGGAGGAAAGGTTAAGTGAGTTCATGATTTGTAGAGGTTTCAGTCCATAATCAACTGGCTCCAACGCAGGGTAGCACAAGGCAGAAGGGCAACAATTCATAGCAGACACAGGGTAGCAAAGCAACCATGACAGTGTCTTTCTACTCTTTTTATTCAGACTGCTTAGGGAGTACAGCATCCACACCCTTAATCCTAGTGTCCCTGATTATTCTAGCATTGTACCATGAATCAATTTCAGAGTCACACACTCTAGATCCAGAGACTTCTGAAAAAGCCCCATCTATGAGTCGCATGAGGCTTTGGGGGGGTCATATAAAAACAAGCCATAACAATGAAGAAACTTAAGAACACTGTTTAATCATTTTAGATAGAATAATCACACAGTTAAATAGATAATTTTAAGTATACCCTTGCCAGATTAAGAAATTATAACAATGAGTGCTATAAAACTTGAAAAGAACAAAAAATACGTCATGTAAAGGTACAAGATCCCAATGATGAATGTAACTGTATTTTATACCTAAAATGCACCAATAAAGTTAATGGAAAAATATGAAAATGGACATGCACAACATCACAAACTCTGACATTTATTCATATTGAATGTAAAAAAATATGCTATATTATTAATCAGCCAAGAGAGTAGCTGAGTAAGTAGTGGGATGCCTGCCTACCATGGATGAGGCCCTGGAGTCAATCTGCAACACAAGAAAAAAAGAAGGAAGAAAGGAAGGAAGGAAGGATAGAAGGAAGGAAGGGAGAGAGACAGAGAAGAAAAGGGAAGAAGAATAAATTTGAAACCAGGTAACATTAAAACTAACAGCTTTGGTTCCCAAACTGCATATCATTTAATAAGACACATTTGGGTGTTGAGAAAGAGACTTTCAGAGAGGTTATTGTTTGTAAATGTTGTTTCCATAATTTCTGGACATCATCTTCTATATTAACCAGTGGATTCCTATGACAGGAGTGTCAGAGAAAATTTCCCTGAGAAGGTGTTCTCTGAGCTGGAATGTGCACGGTGAGTCACACTTACCTGTCTAAAAGGGAACTGCATATGGCAAGGCCCTGGGGCAGAAAATGATTCATTAAACAGATCTTTCAAAGTTAAAGTCTCTGGGACTTTATGATAGGCTGCATTTGAACGGTAAGGGAAACAACAAGAATGACATCAATATTTCTGAATATATATGACAGAATTCACTGCAATAAGAAATGCAGGAAGGAGGCCATTCCAGGGATTATGTGTCCACTCTGATTTCAGGGTTCTAACACTCTGAAATAAGGATGCTGCACAGGACGAAATTTAAAACTCTGTGTGAAAGGACACAATAGAGTAAAAAAGGAAACTTTCAGAATGGAGAAATTATTTGCAAATCAGTATTTGATAAAATGTTAATATCCAGAATATAAAAAGAACTCCTATAACTCAACAACCAAAAAAAAAGGAATTAAGAAATAGGCAAAAGACTAGAATAGATCTTTCTATAAACAAGATATAAATAGCTAACAAGCATATGAAATGATGCTAAACATAACTGTTACAGAAATGTAAATTAAATCCAAATGGGATATCTTCTCACACAAATTATGATGATTACTGTGAAAAAGAGGCAAATAAAACAATTGCTGTCAAGGATGCAGAAAATTTGGAAGCCCTGTGAACTAATGACAGGTGTATGAAATGGTGCAAAAACTGTGAAAAACAGCATGAAGCTTCCTCCAAAAATTTAAAATGTAATTACCATATGACCCAGCATTACTCCTTTTGGATATATCCTCAAGAATTAAAAGTAAAGAATCAAAGAGATAATTGTACAATCATGCTCATAGCAAAATAGTAAAAGCAACCCAGGTGTCCATGGATGGAGTAATGAATAAAGAAAATGTGGTACATAAACACAGTAGAATATTATTTGGCCATGAAAAGGAAGGAAATTTTGATACATGCTACAATATGTATGGAGATTAATTACATTATACTTAGTGGAACAAGGCAATAATAAAAAGACTACTACTATAGGATTCAGCTTCCATCGGGAGTAAACTCTTAAGAAAAGAAAGTGAGTTTTTGTATCTAGGGGATCCTGAGAAGTAGTTAGGTGGAATTATTTAACAGAGAATTTCACCTTTGTAAGATGAAAAGGTTCTGAAGATTAGTTTCTCAAAGATGTGAATGTATCTAACACTATTGAACTGTAAACTTAAAAATAGTTATGATGGCAAATTTTACATATGTTCATTTTACTATAAATAAAAGCTTTTAAATTTTAAATAAACAGTATGATAGCTAGCTAACTAGTTAGATAGATATGTGAGGAAAGCTGTGGACCGCAAATATACATATAAGAATCATATAGAAAATAATTTTCTTACACTGCTTTATGTCCTTCTCCCTTCTCATCCTTAAAATCCTGAATTATCAGTGACTCTCTAAATACAAGGTCTTTCCATTCCATCATCTGATTTGACACAGAAATCTGTTTTCATCTACCAAGACACAATTTAAAATTTTTGAAGGAACAGCAGACGTAGATGTTTATAGCTGTGCTATAATTCACCAACAAAAAAGGATCTCTACATATGCCTCTACTTTTGACCAACATTAAAAACGATAGATGTGGGCCGAAAGAGAAAAACCAAAACTACTCTTTTCAATAAATATCCATTGATCATGAGAGAAAAAGTCCATCCTTTGCACATCCTTCTTGGTAAGCATTATGTGCCCTACCTTGTTTGCGCACATCCTCGACAGCAGCCACCAGCTCTTCTTTGAGATCTTGACTCTCCTTCGCGATCTGTTCGCCCTTTTCCAGGAAGTTCTGAGTGGCTTGCTCCACAGATGCAGCCAGTACATGGGCTTTCTTTGACCTCCCTTTCTTTTTACCAGATGGGCCTTTGTTGCTTGTGTTGACCAGTGTTGTGACCTAAAATGCAAAAGTAAAACCTTGAAACTATTCAGCAAAACTTTGTAAAAATATCATGCCATTACCTCCAAATTTCAAAATATCCCATTTTATTAAATCATGGGATTTAATTATTGAACTATGAATTTATGCCAGATAGCATCATCACATAGCCTCATCATTGAAAGCATAGAATTACACGGATTAGCATTTCAATAAGCAGCTGTTATTTGTTTCAAGGAGAAAGAAAAGCATAGGAATCAGTAGGAAGAGTAGACTTGCCAGCAGCTGAAAGTTTCCAGTTGACCCAAGGTTGTACTTTTACACATTAACAAGTAAAGTGCTCTTTGGAGTAAACAGCCTCGGGAATGAGGAGAACAAGGCAAATGTGGAACTGGCTCTAAGAAACAAGTGAAGAGAAGCAATTTGTAGTACTGAGCTAGGCAACACAGGGCAAAGGTGAATGAACAATTAATAAGAGGGAAGTAATCAATATATTTTACTAATCTGCTATATTCCTAGGACTTTGGAAGATTTTTGCTGCTTTAGATTTCATCTTATAAAAATTAAATGGTAAATTTGATGTGAAGGGATTAAATGATTCAAGTTTAATATTTAGTTAACCAGTTAAAATTTCCAAAATCAAGATTAGATTGACATTTATTATCACTCTTTTTCTAAGTATCATAATTTGAATACATATCTCCACTGCCAGAAGTCTTTTTAGCACAACTATATCTGTAACTAATTTGCTAACAAAGGACTTAATGTCCTTCAAACAATTTGATATCTCTTACAGATTTCAGAACCTTTCTTTTCTATTACTGAGAAGTTTGAAAGATGCTCCATATTCTGTTCAGCAAAAAGTGCCAGTCTTGTTTATTGCTGTACTTTTAAAAATACAGCTCCATAAGAATGTAGATTCTGTGGTTAATTTTCATTGACATTTATCCTGTTTAGCAGACTAAAACTTTTCTTGGAGGTTATCAAGAAAGCCAGTCCACAGAATAGTTCCAAAGGCTATAGCTTCTGATGTTTACTCCAAATCCTAGAACAAGCAAAGCCATTAGTCAAAGTGACAATTAATGTCCAGCCAGTTAACAGGGGAAGCGATAACACCAAAAGGAAAGAGAAGTATCGAGTGAATGTGTGCTGAGATGATGAACACAGCTGGCATCAGTATCAGGAAGTGGTAAATACAATGTTGGATGATATCATATTCAGCTGTCTCAATTGGTAAATAATTAGATATAGTGAATTAAATAAAGATGCTCTTATATTCAGGCATGAATACTAAACCGGAAAAGAAAGCTAAATTCATTCAAAATAAAAATATCAATAGTGGTAGTTTAACTGTTGCAGTAAGGAACATATTCTAGACTTTTCACCTCACTCACAATGAACCAACCTTCAGACAAAAGAGAACTTGTCATCCAGCTTGCTTTTCTGAGGTGCAGAGGTGTTCCTCTTAATGAGGATTAGTCTAACCCACTCACATGCTACTCTGCTGGGAACCTGCACTTTCCAGAACAGCCCACACTTGCAGACATAAACATAAGCCTCCGTGTTAACATGACTCTAAAATTTCAACTTAGACTATGGTGTTTTTATCTCAGAAAAACACTCCCTACTTCCAGTTAGTTTTGAATTATTCTCATTGTACACATAACTGTGAGAATTTCTGTGATTTTTTTTTTAGATCTCTCAAATTAGCAAAAACAAAAACAAAAACAAAAATAGAGGGGAAAAGGAGCTTTTAATTTCAGGTATCCTAACAGAGGTAAGAGGTAGAACCTGAAGGCAACATTATAAAAACAGCTGACAACATCATGGGTTGATTTTCTACAAAGGCAAACAAAATGTCAACTTTTCTTTTATCTCATGGTACATTACTATGTTAAGCATAATTTAGGAAATCCTTATAATAACAAGTCAGTATAAAGTATCATTTATGTGGGGAAAAAAACCCCATGGAACATTACCGGGAAGTTCCTAAGAAAATGTGATTACTTCTAAAAGAAGCAAATCAATTCAATTCTCTTTCAGTGAAAACTCTCATTTACTGATTGGCAGATGAGCACAGAGAGAGAAAAGAGAGGAAAAATAAAAGAAAGAGATGAGCCTCTATATAGGCTCACGTCGTCATTTGAGAACAAAGAAATATTGTAATTCTTGACACTTCTTCACTGCTAGTCAATGTTTTACTGAAGGACAAATACAATAAATTAGGTAAAAGAAAAAGAACAAATAAAAGTTATTAAAAAGATAAAACATTTGTGGGGTGTGGTGGACACTCTTGTAATCCCAACACTCAAGAGGCCAAAGCAGGAGGATCTCTGCAAGTTTGAGGCCAGCCTGGGCTACATAGTGAGTTCAAAGTCACCCTGAACTATATAGTGAGACCCTGTCTCAAAATAAACAAACAAACAAATAAATAAATAAATATTACTCTATCTCATTATTGATAAGAATAAGATTCTTAAGAAAAAAATGAATTAGAAGACAATTAGAAATACTATAGAAGTGAATGGTAAGAGGGATAAATACTAGATAAAAAATTAAAATCTAATCAAAGAGCAGTACGTATGAGAAATATAGTTTAAAATATAGTGCTCACAATAACCATAAGTTGATTTTATCAGAGATAACCATAACACAACGTGGAGAATGGTATATGGAGAAAAATATAAACTTTAATGAAGAGAATAAAAGACGACCTGAATAATGGAGCTAGCACACGACCATATTTTGGGATGGGAAGACTCAAAATTGTAAAGATGTTTTCTCTGTCCAGTTTGTTTTACAATTAACATTCCAAGGATTTACAAAGTAAATCATCAAGAAAGCCAAGATAAATTTCCTTTCACTCAGTTCAGTTCTGTTTCTTCTGAGAAATGAAGCACTCAGTAAATTAAAGAAGTGTGATTTAGGGTGTGCATATGCAGGACTTCTGATGTTCCATTTCTAGTCAGTATATCAAATGCCTGAATAGAAATTTTAAAGTAGGTTAGGTCTGACAGCAGGCGACATAGTCAGATCTGTATTTTTAGGGCAAAACTGTGTTTGGAAATTCTCAGTCTAGCCTTTAACCGTACAAATTCTTTGACTCAGTCTCATTCTCTTACTAGCCAAGCAACTTCACTGATTCTATAAAAAGTATACACAATTATTATGTCAAGTAAAAAAATTAAAATAAACCATTAAAAAAGAGTCTGTAACATGATACATTATTCTACATTTTCATTTTCTTTCAAATGAAGCTATTTTCACTTTCATGCCATATGCTTTCAGTCTTTCTGAGCTGTTCCTATACTTACACCTAAAATTGTGAAAGTTAAGATACATTTACTTTAGTTCTACCTTGGCATTTCACAGATGGAGAAATTCAGCTTAGAGAAGCATGAAAGCTCAGAAAAATAATGCTCAAATTCACAAGGTTCTAAAGAGACTAGAGGCTCAATTATTCTTTTTTTTTTTTGGTGCTGGGGATTGAACTCACTACCTTGGGTTTTCGAGGCAGGCTTGGTGCCACTGAGCTAAATCCTTGGCCCAAGCCTAGATTATTCGTGTGTGCTATAATGTAGAACTCTGCAATTCAGTTGTCTTCTTTTCTTTTACCTTCTAACAAAATAAGCAGCTGTTAACAGATAATCTTAAGGTGTACTTATTCTCCACATTTGTCTCATTACACTTGCTATTTGTATCCTACTGTGTGTCTTTTCATTCAATGGGATTAAATATCTTATGTATTGATATGTTTGTTAATATTAGTGAAATGCTCACCATTTACTTCATCCTACCCTGCTGCAATGTCTTATGACATCTGATGTGTGCAAGGGTCTCAAGTTAAACAAATATACCAGGGATTTTGTATCAGGTGAGAGTGGAAGAAGAACAAAAGAATTTCAAAAATATGGTAACTAGGGCCAGGGATTTAGCTCAGTGGTTTCTCCACCTGCTGCGAAAGCGCAAGGACCAGAGTTCGATCCCTGGTAAAAAAAAAAAAAAAAAGTAACTAAATAACATAACTTAGGATTCTTATGTTTCAGTACTCTTCTATGGGTATCACAGAGAAGAATAAAGCATTGTTGCTCACTCATGAAGGACACAGACACACTAAATAGCAAGACGCATGGAGTTTTTAATGAAGAAAACCATTACTTAGTTCTAAAGATTCACTCACCACCTGGCAAACAAGTTAGGGACTATGAGAACGATCAGTTCTAATCAGCTGGGCAGTCAGCATCTGTAGGACAATGGGAGCCCTTAGAGGGGTCAAAGCAGCAAGAACACATTCTGATCCAAAGGTGGTAGCCACAGAAGAGGCCTAGTTGTCAGAGTTACAAGTGTTTGGCCTAGGCTTGATATCCAGACTGGGTCCTAGATGATATTTCCAGGAAGGTTGCTGGTAATCTTTTAAGAAATGGTTTAGTGTGTGAAAATATCCAATCTGAACTCTCAAGCAAGCAGCATACTCTCCTTCCTGTCAGTTTGCAAGCATATGTTTTGTAGTAAAAAAAAAAAACCCACAAAGTTCCAGTAGGAGAAACTAGGAGTAATGCTATGAATATTGACACAGACTTGATATGTAGTCACAGACTTGATATCTTGTAAGGCAGTAAGGCTACCAGTCTTACTTGAGAATGACATTAACTATGAACAATATAGGAAATAAGGTTGGATAGAAGTGGTGGAACAAAACTTTGAGCTCCAAGTTGAGGGATCAAATTATGTTAGTAACTTCCAATTTGTTTTAAAAGAGAAAAGCATTTCAGTGTCCATTTTCTCTTTCCATTCATTTTTCAGTGCACTGAAATTTTGCTTTCATTTTCACACTCTCAGCTGCAGAGTCCTCTTAAACTGATCTTCAGTGAAGGTAGTTAATAAATTGGCAAAATCAAGTCATTTTTATCTTAGCATATAGCTCTGCCACATTTAATGTTATTGACTCAATCCCACTTTCTTCTACAAATACCCCCTAATTTTCTTAGCAATGACTTTTTCCATCATCAAACTTGTAG